CTCGGTGTCTGCGGGGCCTGGGCCAGGCTGGGGTGCTCCATGGGCCCAGCACCCCGGTGTGCCGGCTGATGGGTGCGTGAGGGCTGGGCGGGGGTTTTGTGTGTGTGTGTGCAAGCTGCGAGCGGGGCGGGGGGGCGGGTGCAGGGTGATGGGGTGCAAGCTGCTGATGGGGTGCAGGTTGGGCTGATGGGGTGAATTAGACCAGTGCGTGCCTCGAGGGTTGCCTTTGCCTGCACATGCTGCCTTCTCCTCCTCCTCACCTCCCCCAGCCAGGGAGCGTCGCACCCTGGGAGATACCTGGTACCCCAAAGGCACATGCTGGGGCTGGCCTGAGGTGCCCCTGGTCCCCTGTGTCCTGCCTGGGCTGCCCAGCACTCACCAGCCCCTAACACCCCCACCGTGGGCACTGTGCCCCTTCGTGCCACTACAGGGGGCAGGGGCAGCCCCCCCGACTGTGCAGGACAGAGGTGCCGGTGGCGGTGGGCTGGGCACGGGTGGGTAAGGTCTGCGCCATGCTGCTTGTCCCTAGATGCCAGCGTGCCCAACGTGCAGGTGACGAGGCTCACCCTGATGTGCGAGCAGGCGCCGGGGCCCATCACCATGGACCTGACAGGTGAGCAGTGGGGGCACCCGTGGGAGGGGGAGGAGGAGGAAGGGATGCGGGGCTGATGGGCCATCTCCCCGCACAGGAGACCTGGAGGTGCTGCGGGGCCGGGCCTTCGTGCTGAAGGAGGGGGTGGACTACAGGGTGAAGGTGTCCTTCAAGGTGAGGCGGGTGTGTGGTGCCCTGTGCCCAGCCCTGCTGCCCTCACACCCTGAGGTCCCTGTCCCACAGGGTCCCTGCTCCCCATGGATCCCTTATCCCATGTGTTCCAGCCCCACAGGGTCACTCCTGCCACCCATGGGTCCCTGCCACTAGGGGTGCCTGCTGCCTTGGCGCATCTGCCTCCCACCCCTTACACCCAGGGTCTGTGCCCCTCTAGGGAGGTGTCCCTGCCCTCCTGGGAGTCCTTGCTGCCCCCAACATCACTGACACACCAGGGTGGCTGCCACCCTGGGGTCCTTGCCCCTCTTGAGGGTTCCTGCCACCCCGGAGTCCCTGCTTCTCTCAGAGGTCCCAGCCACGTTGGGTCCCTGCCTTTCCCAGGGGCCCTTGGAGGTCCCTGCTCCTCCTGGGTGGGGGGCATCTCTGTCATCTCAGGGTCCCTGCCCCTCTCGGGGGTCCCTGCCACCCTTGATGCTGCTCAATGCCCAATCCTGACCAAGAGACTGGATTCTGGGGGAGGGTTTAGGATGGGGCTTTTGTGGTGGGTGCCCCCTCCCTGCGCCCAAAGCCAGGGGTCCCCGGGGGGGGTGG